ATGGGCAAACACTATCGTAGACCGGAGCAATACGGAAGATTAGCTACCTCCGATCAGCCGACGCATCTAACAACTGATCTCCGCCGTGATCGAGAGCCAGCGAGACGTCTTCCGGCGAAGGTTACCGGGAAGGGGCGTAACAGAGTGCAAAGTCAATTTCTTTTTTTACTCAAACTGCTCAAATCGGTAACATATGGGCCATGTTCGGACTAAATCATCAATCCTCGTCACTAGTCACTACTCACTACCATTCATGTTTTTTTTTTTTTTACGTTTATTGAAAACTTCATAGACGAAACTCATATTATAATAGGGTGATTTACAACAATAACCAAAAAAAAAATTATATTTACAATCTAATGAAAATAGTATGATGTGGAGAAATAGCAGTCATTAGATTAGGATGATTTAGTTAGTTAGTGAAATATATTTTTTTTTAGGTTATTGTAGTCAATTTCCCTATTATAATATAGATCATTTTGGTGTATAAAAAAAAATAATAATTAAAAATAAGGTATGGTAAAATCATGACCATTGAATATGAGATTTTTGGTTAGTTTTTAAATTATAGTTTTTTTTTTGTTATTTTTACCAATTTTCCTTATAATATCTTCCTCTCGAAAAAACAATTTGTCTTCATCAAAAACAAGAACCGAACGAAAAGCTCAAGGACACATAAAATTTAGAAAAATCGAAAAATCGTCACTAGCCTAAAAGCTCGCTTAGTTTATGTTATGTTATATAAATCATTTTTTTGTAAATATTTTGTTTTAACAATGAAGTTCCGAGTACAAGAGTCCTGTGATGTAAGTGTAACTAATGGTTTATGTTATATGAAGCATCAACCATAGGTTTTGTATAATTTCAACTGCGAACAACACGAAGAGAGAAACCTGATGAATATAAATAATTTGTTGACACATAATTCTATCTAAGTAAGGTTTAACACAAATAACGAGACCATTAATTTGGACCAATGGAGAGGATTTGTCACATAATAATATTGCCACTAATTTTAATATAGAGGGTCGTTAAGCCTTTCGTCCGTAGAGGTAAAGCTTTTTCCTTTTGGCCTTCGAGTTTTCATTCGTTGGCGATGACTCTCCATTGTACCAAAGCTTTTTGCTCTTTTTTGTTTCTTTTTTTCTCTTGGCAAAACAATATAAAATTACACGACGCATTACATCAATGCACACAGTCTTGTATCTTTATTTCATTCCTCGATAAAGAATGTTTCACTAGAATCGTCCATCATAGCGAACGGCATGTTCTCCGACGGCTTCCAATGGCGTTTCCTTTGGTTTATAAACCAATTGTTGATTTGTTTCTGATCCAAACCTGTTTCTTCAGCCAGTGCTATTTTGTCGCCTTCCTGCACACACATTTGAATAGAGTTGAGATGCAAATATTATTAGCACCCTAATTGTTTAGCTAAGTGTAGAAATGTTAAGAGATTGTATAATATTGAAACAAGAATACACTTACAGTGGGGTAAGGCCATTTATAATGAACATTCCACCAATCGAGCAATGCTTGTCTTGCTTCTTTTGGTAGCTTTCCTTTCTTTTTCTTCTTCGAGAACTCGAGTTTCAATGAACTGATATGGCTGCCGAATTTACGCAGAAGCTGGTCCTTGAGATCCCGGTCCTCGCTTCTTTGTTGGCTGTCTTGCGCAACTACGTGATCACCTTCCCTCAGTTCCTCGTCAGATGAAACCGCACCATCATCTGTTCACATAAAGAGAACATTGTAATGCGAAAGATCAAGAATGCTTAATTACTTATCTCCCACGTGTGAGCCAAATAAGTAAAACATCAATGAAATGTACGTAGTAGGAAGCATAAAGAAAAGAACCAAAGGTTTTAGGGGTAAAAGAGTAAAAACAAGGATAAGTGAGAGAATATTGAGGCTTCACAAAGAGACTCGGACCAGAATTCAATCAGTCAAAAACTGTGCGCAGTGAGTGAACAATTAGCTTGCATTGTCAGGGGACGACGTGCTCCCTAGGGTATACTACTGACCACCTGAGTCACGACACGTGGCAACTTTCTGAGCCTTTTAAAATGACCCCCGGAAATAACGCTTCCCCAAAATTTATGATCTTCTTCGTATAATGGCCCATTTTATTTAATGACCATACTGACCCCTAATGCTTTGGGAAGGCTAATTTATGGTGTTTGTAACTTTGGTTAACAATGGTTAACAATGATCAAATTATGACCACTAGATTTTCCAAGTAATCTCAACTTAGTGATTAGAGAAAGGGCTGGGCAAAATATATGTGAGATTCGCTTTGATTCGATCCGAAAAATCCGAATATCCGTAATTTACATAGCAAAGATTAAAATTCAATATCCGTTAAACACAAAACAAATCACAAATACTAAAATTTAAGAACCGGATATCCGCTCAGCTT